TTTTAAAATCTCTTAGATAAAAAGTTATAGCCATTTAAAAAATTGAAACACTTCGTGTAACTGTTGAGTATAGACTTTCTGCACCATATTAATAAAAATCAATCATTTTGTTTCATGACAATAGTAGTTAATTAGTGCTTTGACTGTGAATAGATTATAGTAGTTGATAAGTTAATGAATTTAATTGTAAGTTGGTTCATGTTTTTAGCAGTGAGCAGTGTTGAGTTATGACCAGGTTACAATAAGTAATATCACTAAGTTTAATTAGTAAGGTCATATGACCTGGTCATATAACCTTACTAATTGAACTTAGTGATATGACCTGTTGTAATCTTGTCATAACTCAACACTGGCAGTGATTGGGTTCATGATTTTAATAATAGATAATTTACATTTTTAATAGTTGGTTAGTGAGTTCGTGATCTAATATTAGATAATTTCTCAATTTCAGAAGTAGATAGGTTAGAATTTTCACAAATGGATCATAATTTGGCACTATTGCATTAAATTTTTAAATTTTTCTAAAATAATCAAGATGGTATGCAAGTATTGAAATTTATAAAATTTATATTATTAGATAAATATCCCTTATACCGTAAGGTATTTGCAGGCAAATTTGCAATATGAATCAAAGAATGGTTGGCTAGATCTTGCACAAATCAATTGAAATCTATAAGACCTCAAAAAGTAAACGAATTTTAATAAAGATATAAAGTCTATACTCTGCCAAAATTGATATTGGCAGAAAGCTCTCAAATAGGCAATTTTCTCTTCTTATAATGTCAAGGACCTTTATGTAATGATTTTTATATCTACAAAAAAACCGTACCAGTTCAGAAGTTGCAAGTATCAATGGTGTAAGGGATAAATTTTATATTGTATTTAAGGGTGCCAGCATCACCTCTACTAACACTTATACTATATATTGAAAAATTTTAACAATTTATAAAATATACCATATTTAATCTTCTTAATCTTGTTCTGGATCAATGAGAATATCCCTCCTACCACCGCCAGCAACAATCTTTACTCTAGTATTTATATCGAAAGGATTTCCATTATATGCCACAAAATTTGCACTATTACCTTTAAGTAACCCATTTTTCAAATTTAAACCAAGAATTTTTTCCAAGTTCCATGTAATAAATCCAACAGCATCTTCTTGTGAAATCAATCCTTTGGAATTTTGTAATACCCAACCAGCATCCCAAACTAAATTTCTTTCTAAGCCAAATCCTAATAAATATGAATTAAAACCTAATGAAAATAAATCCACACCTATTCCTATCTTAACATTATTTGCATAAAGTATATCTATTCCCGTCTTATTTGTAATAGGAGCTCCTGTTAATACATGTTGAGCTGTCCATAACTTTGGGGTAGGTCTTGATGGGTTAAGTATTACAGGTATTTCATTCTTGGCCAATTCGATCGCGAGCATATGAGCTTCAGCACCACCTGAAATAACAAGCTTTAAATTTCCCCCATAATTTTTAATTTGAATTTTCAATCTAATTAAAGAAGCAATTTCGTCTTTACTGTTGACATATACAATTAAAGGAATATCTCCACGTGCAACGCGACCGAAGAGATTTTGATGTGCAAGGTTTTTTATTAATGTTTTCCTGATTAAAGAAATCTGGCCCGAGACTGTTGGTATACGAGCTTTAATTGAAAAATACAAAATAGTCAACATAATAAATTAATGAACTCATGCTACTAATTTAATTATATGTTACCATCTTTGTATGGGGTGCCTATCTGTGCATGCAATGCAACATTTTCACTAATAATTGAATCATTATCGAAAACTTAATAAAAAAAAAAAAGGTTTCTAAGTGCCTGATGATATTAAATGATATTAATTTTTTTAAAAAAAATATGCGCAAAAATATCTTACTATAACTAGCTCCAGTTTTAAATGCCATAGAAACTCCCATAAACACGCCTTTAGAAGAAAGAGGTGCAGTTACAGCTGTGAGCACTCCAGCTTTATGTGCAGCCTCTAAATGTTTTCCACCTAGTTTTAATCCATCTATTGCATAGATAATATCCTCAACATCATGTGGGTTGCTTATTGGAACAACTTGCCCATCGCTTGCAGATGATTCTAATTCGATCTCCGCTAGTCCTAAAGCAGGATTAACAGCAATAATTCCCTTTAATTTAAATAGATTTAGAAATTTATTGCATATATAAACTGTAATATATACTGTAATACGTATATAGAATAATAACTACTAAAAAAACCTACTGGTAATACATAGCCACCTTTTAAATCTATTATTTCATATGATGAAATATTACTTGGAATTATGCAATTAGTACCAATACATTCAATAATGCCATCCTTAACTATGATATTAATTATCCCTTCTATTGATGAAAGTGTGTGATTTTTGTTAACATAAATTCTGTCAATATTTTTTAGTATGATTGAGGAAGTTGTTCGTGATTTAACAGGCTTTCCGGCAAGATCAGATTTTGGCACAGACACATTTGTATTACATAATAGAGTTTGTTTTGATGTTTCATTGCTCAGCACACTTAAAGAAGTGTTGAATTGAGGAATTCCATCAATATATACTTCTAATGGAGTTGCACCCAATGAAAGAGGATGAGAATCCCAAACCTAATAAAAACACATAAATAAAAATTCAAAATAAAAAATCATAAATAAAAAATGCATTCCCATAGAGTCGGACAACGCGGTATATTACCACAACATCAGCATCATATCCTAAAGAAATTTGACCAATTCGATGATCCAGACCAAGTGCTTTTGCAGGCACTGATGTGATGGCCGCAAGAGAATGATGTTCATCAAGGCCATAATGATAAGCTTTAGAAGCTTGATATGCCAAATGTTGCTATAGTTAACAATTATTGATTAGAATAAAATTTATATTATCTAAAAACGCAAACAACTTACCGCATTTGTTATAGGATGATCGGACTTAAATGCTACAGGAATTTGTGCATTTGCAAAAATTTTAGGAGCTTTTGTACTAGCTTGAAATAATTCTTTTTTATGCCCCCAAAGGTCAGGAAATAATACGACAGTAATATTATTTTTTGCTCGTTTTTTAATAATATCAGTAATCATATAAGCACTTGATGCATGATGTATGGCTTCAATAGTAAAATTAAATTCCAAGGAATGCCGAATCATTGTTTCTATGTCGAAAGGCTACATAACATTTAAATTAGAATTTTTATAAATATGCAGATATTGATGAAATATTTTATAAATTCACTAAAATAAACCTCAAGACAATGAATATTTAATTTCACATCCCCTCTTAATAATGCCACCAAACTTTCGAGTTGAAGGTCCTCCGGGAAATATGAGTTCAATTGTTCATTGTTACTTAATTTTGTTGCAGCGTTACACCAATCATCTTGCTTCTGTTTCAATGCTTGTGCCTCAGAAAAGAATTTACGGAATAGCCATGCTTCTCCGAGCCGAGTTGTAGGAGCCTCCTTACGAGGACCATGTTGAGCCTTCATCGTATGTAATAAAATATAATCATTAAGATATCATAATTATAAAAAAAGAAAAATCTTTGTGCTTACCTTTGGATTTTCACCACAAGCCATTTTTAACCAACGCCAGGCCTTTTCCTTCTTTGTATCAATTTTTGCATTAATTCCCATATCATCCACCGAAGAGGTATCAACTGGTCGCATCTTGATAACGAAACCTTCACCACTCATCAAACTCAGGCTTCCAGTCAAAACTATTTTGAGCGCAAGGAATTAAGATTAACATTGACTATTATTGCTCAACTCGTACCAATAAGATGTTGCTTAGAGATCAAAACACAATTATCGCTAAGCATTCACAAATATCATACTCTTATTGTGCGTATATGAAATACGATCAGCTTACTTAATGAAGTTGTAACGCCACCCGATGCAATTATTCGAATTTCTAAAAAATATTTCAAAAAAATAAATCTAAATAAATACTATAGATGCAATTACGGAATTATACATAGGAGATTTGTTCGAATCATTATTTCCATTTATTAACCTGGACCATTTGGGTTGATTGCATCCAGCGCACGAACCTGGATTTAGAATAATGAAATGAAATTGGAAAAGATATTGGAGAAAAATTTAATTAGAACAATCTGATATAAATATATGCATGAATGGGAAAATGATATATTTATATTATATAATAATTTTTATACAATTAATGCTACATATAATACGAACATAAGGTGTAAGCGGATAAGTTTCTTTATTGCCATCATCGCTACCAATTAAAAATGGCCAGGACGAAATAGTAGAATGGCTGTAAATTATTTTCGGTTATGTAAATGCAGAGATCAAAAAAAGATAAACCATATGACAATTATCAAATTTTACCTGTGCATATCAACGAGTCCGGGAGTAATATATTTTTTTTTAACATCAATTACGATAGCATCATCTTCATTTGAAAGGTTCTGACCGATAGCATGAATCAATCCATTTTTTAAGATAAGATCACCTAAAATAGTTTCTCCTTTTCCGTTTAAAATTATCCCATTTTTGAAAACAATACTTTTTGTTCCTGGAACGAACCTAGGATTACTTGTTCGTGGATACACATTATTAAGTTTATTGCTTTTTATCATATTACATTTAATCACACCATTTCTGTATGCTTCCTGAGATATTCCAACTAAAAACCGATTGTATTTATAAGGAACAAAGTGTATTTTATAAAATATAAATAAAGTAATGAATGCACCAACAAGTGAAATTATTAAAAGAAATTTCTTTAGCCTCAAATATGATGGCTTGAAATGAATGAAATTTTGGATGTATCCATTTACATGGATATATTTTTTAGAATATCTTAGCAACATTTTAATTTAGATTCTTTTAATGTGTGATCATTAATTATACTTGTCTGTTTCGTGTCAGAGATTGACGCAGCATTATATGAGTGATGCCAAGGCAGCAAATATTTAGGCATCAAATAGGAGAGTTCTAGCCCTGGGAAAATTGTAATATTACGTATTGAATCAGAGATGTGATCAGCGTTCTAGAAGTGTTCTCTAATTATTGGGAAACACAAACTAAATTTAGTATTATGTGACATATCGATATACGATGATTTAATACATCATATCATAATCTTCCCAGGGGCGAACTCGCCTTACAGGTTTTCCTTTGGCATCACTCATATGATAATCGTAATACAATGCCATGCATTAACTTTAATATACGTATGACAGGCAACCGATTTGTCATATGTAAAAGGCTCAGAGCAGAGACCCGTAAAAATTTTTTGTGTTATACAAAATCTTCATTTGTGTCATTGCAAAAAAAAATTGTATTAATTTGTATCATTAAGATAGTTGCGCAACGTAGTTCAGTAGTTGCGCTAAAACCGTACGTACTTAAGTACGTAAGTACGTACGTACGTACGTTGTGAAAGGGTAGATTGTTGCTTGTAATAGATTTTTAAAGAATATGTACTGTACAGAAGATAATTTAGTACTATATTTTAAAAAAAATTTGAAATAATTGGATTTATTTGACACATCTATGCAATACAGCCGGACCCCCTAAATGCTACCCCCCTAAGTGCATGTTCTATGAAACACCTCCCTAAATGCACGTCTTCTCTTGGGCCAATTAATATTAATATTACATCTATTGATTTTTACCTCCCTAAATACAATACCTCTCTAAGTGCACATTTGACTAAATTTTTGTATATGGTCACATTGCATTTAGTGAAGTCTGACTTTATTAAAATTTTAGAAAACAAATAATTAAAAAATTCAAGTTTATGCAAGCCGAATCCAAAAAAAAAAGTTACATTTGAAATTGGAGATTATGTTAAGGTTTTGTTTCAAATATTGATCGATCTAAAATACTAATCGAAAATTTTGCCTTGTAAAGTCTTGGAAGTTCTTCACGAAGGATATTATAAGTAATGTTATTTTAGATGCTTGTTTTCGTGCATGCAATATAGATCCATCAGAGCAATCTATCCTGAAATGCCATTTAACCAGCTTTCTTTATATAAAGCCGTTATTATACAAAGTAGTATATTTGTAAGTTAAGCAATTTGTTATTGCGTGGAAAATTGTCTGTTCTGTCTAAACGTTGTGCTTGTGGAAAATAACTTAAAGTGTAGCAGAATTGTTATTAATCTACCAAAATCATAACTATATATTATATTATATATTCAGTATTTACATGTACGTAGTATTGCATAATTATATTGCATAAATTCATCGTTGCTATATTTTTAAATGCGTAATAACTTATTTCGACTGCGTCAAATTAATTAATTTATGCTAAGTCGAGTTTGATTAAATTGACTGGGTCAAATTTAACTTAACCTAAAATCAACATGACCCGTAACATATTCAATAAATCTAATTAATACGACACATTCGACATATACGGTATACGGGTGCCGGTCAAAATACTGACAAGCGCAATCCCAACAGTCAAAATCCCGATAATTAAAAATCTCGACAGTCAGAATTTTCAAGTTGAAAATCCCAAATATGGGGTATGTTTAAAGCGAAATAGACTCCTATAATTTAATTAATTTTAGTGTTAGATCATTTTAGATAAAGGTTAGGCTAGCATTAGCTATGAGCTATGATTCTGATATTTTCTATCAGAATTTTATTGTCGAATTTCACTAGTCGGGATTTTGACCTAAACCCACGGTATTTTATAGTTATCGTGCACGAAGTGCACGATAACTAGTTACAGGCAGATTTATACTCAAATCACATGGCCTTTGGCCATGTGATTTGAATATAAATCTGCCTGTAACTAGTTATTGTACATTTTGTGCATGATAACTATTTTATCGTTTGGGTCCTATGTAACAGTTTCTGACGTCA